TTTTAGTAGAGACAAGGTTTCACCGTGTTAGCCAGAATGGTCTCGATCTCCTGACCTCGTGATCCGCCTGCCTCGGCCTCCCAAAGTGCTGGGATTACAGGCGTGAGCCACCGCGCCTGGCCGATAAAATGCATTTTTTTAACTTGTTATGTGCAGTCATGCATCACTTAAGAATGGGGTTATGTTCTCAGAGATGTGTTAAGCAATTTCGTTATGCTAGCACCATGGAGACCATGGAGTGTATTCAGACCTAGATGGTATAGCCTACTATATGCCTAGGCTATATGGTATAGCCTATTGCTTTTAGGCTGTAAACCTCTATGGCATGTTATTGTACTAAATATGGTAGGCAGGTGTAGCACAGTGGGAAATATGTGTTTAAATATATCTAAACAAGAAACAGGTACAGAAGTATGGTATAATATTATGGAACCACTGCATGTATGCATGCAGTTCATCATTAATCAAAATGTGTGGCACATGACTGTACTATAAATTAGTTCTTTACCACTTTTTCAACAATGCAAGAACCTTTGGAATATTTGAAACTGCATTTATTTCTCTTAAGACTTATGTGCTCTTGTCAGCATAAATTTTAATTTTGTTTATTTTAAACCCCTAAAATATAGTTATTATTTATTTAGATTTGAACATTTTAACCTTGGCGTGGTGGCTCATGCCTGTACTCCCAGCACTTTTGGACGCCTAGACAGGAGGATTACTTGAGTTCCAGGACTTTGAGACCAGCTTGGGCAACATAGTGAGACCTTGTCTGTACTAAAATTCAAAAATATTAGCTAGGCATGGTGGTACACGCCTGTAGTCCCAGCTATTTGGGAGGCTGAAGCAGGAGGATCACTTGAGCCTAAGAAGTCGAGGCTGCAGTGAGCCCTGGACCATGTCACCAAACTCTAGCCTGGGCAACAGAGCCAGACTTTGCCTGTAAAGCAAATAACAACAAAAACCATTTTAACCTCTACATTGTTCTGCCTGCCTCCGTGTTCTGATGAGAAAAAACTGTGCCAAACAGTGAGCTTATCATCTCTCTAAGTTTTTCTTTTCTCCTGGATCCCGATCCTACAAATTCTCACTGCGTTTGTACCCTGCTAGTGTCTTTTTTTTGCCCAAGCTGGAGTGCAGTGGCGCGATCTCAGCTCACTGCAACCTCTGCCTCCTGGGTTCAAGAGCAAGAGATTCTCCTGCTTCAGCCTCCCGAGTAGCTGGGATTACAGACAGGGTTTCACCATGTTGACCAGGCTGGTCTGGAACTCTTGACCTCAAGTGATCCACCTGCCTCCGCCTCCTCCTCCCAAAGTGTTAGGATTACAGGTGTGAGCCACCATGCTCGGCCACCTGCTCATGTCTTCATGCAGGTGTTGTTCTTTTTTCTAGTTCTTCTAGTTCCTGGGAGCAGAGTAGGTCCAAACCAACCTAGCCTATCATTGTAGGAAGTGGAATTTCTCATTTATTTCTAATACAGTATTAAAAACATTAACTTTAGACTACTTCTCTAATACTACTTTATGTGCCCAAATATAATAATGAGTTAAACAAAACTGATACAGAAAGACTTACTGTAGAACAAATCTGGCTGGGCGCAGTGGCTCATGCCTGTAATTCCAGCACTTTGGGAAGCCAAGGCGGATGGATCACCTGAGGTCAGGAGTTCAAGACCAGCCTGACCAACATGGCAAAACCCTGTCTCTACTAAAAATACAAAAATTAGCTGGGGCTAGTGGTGCGTACCTGTAATCCCAGCTACTCTGCTTGGGAGGCTGAGGCAGGAGAATCTCTTGAACCCAGAAGGCATTCCAGCCTGGGCGACAGAGTGAGACTCTGTCAAACAAAACAAAACAAAAACAAAAACAAATCCTATTGACAAAGCATTCTTTGTCTGGTTTGGTAGCTTATGCCTGTAATCCCAGCACTTTGGGAGGCTGAGACGGGCAGATCACTTGATCCCAGGAATTCAAGACCAACCTGGGCAACATGGTGAAACCCTGTGTCTACAAAAAATACAAAAAAAATTAGCCATGCTGGGTGCCATGTGTCTGTAGTCCCAGTACTTTGACAGGCTGAGGTGGGCAGATCACTTGAGCCCAGGAGTTCAAGACCAGCCTGGGCAACATGGTGGTGAAACCTTGTCTTTTTAAAAATTACAAAAAAAAAAATTAACCATCCAGGGTCCGTGTGTCTGTAGTCCCAGCTGCTTGGGAGGCTGAGGTGGGAGGATGGCTTGAGCCTGGGAGGCAGAGGCTGCAGTGAGCTGAGGTGGCGCCACTGCACTCCAGCCTGGGCAACAGAGCCTGACCGTGTCTCAAAAAAAAACAAAACAAAACCAAAGTATTCTTAAGGGACTCCGGAGTCTTCTACTCAGTTTTATGGAATACTGGGATTTTTTTGGCTTCATTTCTTTTGCTTTTTTTTTGTTTTGAGACGTAGTTTCACTCTTGTTGCCCAGGCTGGAGTGCAATGGCGCAATCTCGGCTCCCTGTAACCTCTGTCTCCCGGGTTCAAGGGATTCTCTTGCCTCAGCCTCCCAAGTAGCTGGGATTACAAGCGCTCACACCTAGCTAATTTTTTGTATTTAGTAGAGATGGAGTTTCACCATGTTGGTCAGGCCGGTCTCGAACTCTTGACCTCAGGTGATCCACCTGCCTCAGCCTCCCAAAGTGCTGGGATTACAGGTGTGAGCCACTGTGCCTGGCCTCTTGGCTTCATTTGTGTGTCAGTACTGAGATTTTCAGTGGTGTTTGGTCTTTGTAAAGGAATGGGAAATACATCATTTTGCAAATAAGGTTTCTTATAGATGATTTTTAAATGTCTCAATGTCTGAATATTTGAAGTTTCTTATGAGTTACTTCATATATGTGCTTGAGGCCAAGAGAATGAATTAATGTGAGTATAGCAAGTATGTCTTGTGATATCACTTAAACAGGAAGTTAATTTTTAAAATCTTTCAAACCAGAAGCAGTTATTTCACATGCGATGGCTTTTTTTTTCTATTTTTCTTTTTCTTTTTTTATTTTTTGTTTTTGAGACGGAGTCTCGCTCTGTTGCCCAGGCTGAAGTGTAGTGGCGCGATCTCGGCTCACTGAAAGTTCCGCCTCCCGGGTTCACGCCATTCTTCTGTCTCAGCCTACCAAGTAGCTGGGACCACAGGCGCCCACCACCACACCTGGCTAATTTTTTCTATTTTTTAATAGAAACGGGGTTTCACTGTGCTAGCCAGGATGGTCTCGATCTCCTGACCTCATGATCCGCCTGCCTCGGCCTCCCAAAGTGCTGGGATTACAGGCGTGAGCCATCACGCCCAGCCTTTTTTTTCTATTTTTCTATAGAAAGATGTTTTCAAAAATTAAACTGGAGAATCCATCCGAACACCATGAAATGTTGATTATGATTTTCTGATTATTTCTCAGTCTGATCAAATCCAGTTAATTACAGCGAAGAAAATAATCATCTATATTAAATGTGTCTTTTTAAATTTTACTCCATAGTCGCAATTCGTTATTTGGACTAGATCGTTGCCAAACTTTCAAACAGATAATCAGTATTTGCCTCTCTTCGTAGCAAGAGCCTTAGAAGCCTCCATTTTTTTCTCCCATAATTCCCTTTTTTTCCTTTTCTGATCCTCTGAAGCCAGTCTTAATGCTTCTCACTCACTGTGTAGTCATAGTTAAAGAAGGCAATAAATACTGCAGATACCTTGGTAAATTGGGTCAGTGGTAATTGAGTTTAAACGGAAAGAGTAACATTTGTGTCTAAATGTTTAAAAGTTAGTTTTACTGTTTCTTAAGATCTCACAGAATTATTTTTTTCAACTTTAAAATCATTTGCTATTGCTTATTCCTTGGAGTATAAATATATTGAAAATGGCCTGTGAAATCTCTTTTTACATAATCTGGTTCATATAAAATTTTCCAATGTCGTATAATGTCACATTATGAAACCTGTGAACATGTTCAATTATTTTGGCCTTTTAAAATCTTTTTCTAGTATGTTAGGCTGTCATATGACACCAAACCTGAAGTCATTCTGCAACTTCTGCTTAAAGAATGGCAAATGGAATTACCCAAACTTGTTATCTCTGTACATGGGGGCATGCAGAAATTTGAGCTTCACCCACGAATCAAGCAGTTGCTTGGAAAAGGTCTTATTAAAGCTGCAGTTACAACCGGAGCCTGGATTTTAACTGGAGGAGTAAACACAGGTAATGTGATGATTATACCAATTTTATTTAGTGTGTTTTATTTTTTATTTATTTATTTATTTTTTGAGACAGACTCTCACTTTGTTGCCAGGCTGGAGTGCAGTGGCACAGTCTCGGCTCACGGCAACCTCTGCCTCCCAGTACAGTAATATTTTGAGGTATTATCACATATATAAAGGCCCTGTCTCCAACCACAGTCATATTTTGTGGTATTGGGAGTTAGGGGACACAATTCAGCCCATAAGAAGTAATAATGGGCCAGGCATGGTGGTTCATGCCTATAATCCCAGCACTTTGAGGGGCTGAGGTGGGAGAATTACTTGAGTCTAGGAGTTCAAAACTAGCCTGGGCAACATGGTAAGACATTTTCTACAAAAAAAAAAAAAAAAAATATTAGCCAGGCATGGTGGTATGTGCCTACCATCCTAGCTACTTGGGAGGCTGAGGTGGGAGGATCACTTGAGCCCAGGAGGTCAGGGTTGCAGTGAGCCAAGCCATGATCACACCACTACAGTCCAGCCTGGGCAATAGAGTGAGACCCTGACTCCCTCCCTAAAAAAAAAGAAGTGATAATGAGGAGTTATATGCTCTTTGGAACTACCTTTTACACTTTTCTCTCTCATTTTTGACCGAAGTAGACTTTCGTCATTGTTTATTGTGTGTGTGTGTGTGTTTTGCGTATGGTCCTGTGCCACGGAGCTGCATTCTTAATTTTTTCTAAATGATGTGTAGAGCAGTAATAAAAAACCTACTGTTACTTAGAGGAGAAATGCAAAAATGGACTAGACCTACTAACATTAAAAAAGTTAGTGTTGTATGTGTTTCTGGCATTTGTAGTGATTTGATATTGTGGGATTTAGTGGTTTTTGTTCCTTTTTGGTCCTTGTGTATTCTTTCGTAGGTTTGGCTATGACCTTGTTTTAAGTTTGTTGTTTGTGACTTTGTTACCTTATATCTTGTATGTGTGAAGAAATATATCACATATTATAGTGTTACAGATTGAGCACAGGGTTGTTCTGAACACAATAAAGACTGTAATCCCAGAACTTTGGGAGGCTGAGGCATGAGCCCAAGAGTTCAAGATCCGCCTGTCTCTACCAAAAAAAAAAAAATTAGCCGACTGTCTTAGCATGCACCTGTAGTCCCACCTACTGGGGAGGCTCACAAGGGAGGATCACTTGAGTCCAGGAGTTTGAGGCTGCAGTGAGCCGTCATTGCACCACTGCACTGTTTCCTGGGTGACCCTGTCTTTAAGAAAATAAAAAAACAAAATAAGTAAACTTTTTTTATGAGCAGGTGTGGCAAAACATGTTGGAGATGCCCTCAAAGAACATGCTTCCAGATCATCTCGAAAGATTTGCACTATCGGAATAGCTCCATGGGGAGTGATTGAAAACAGAAATGATCTTGTTGGGAGAGATGTAAGAATTATTTTTAAAATTTCTTATGTTTGAAATTATATATAAACAAAATTATAGTAAGAATAGTGCCAGTTTAAAATATTCATGATTATATTATACTTTTCAAATTAAGTTTAAAAGGTATTTTCCTGAGGTTTACTTCTGATTTTTTTGAAAATGAATAAAGATAAATAATTCATAACTATAAATAAGTTCATAAATATAAATGCTGTTATAGTGTTGGCACATTTTGCTTTCAGTCTTTTATGTATAAAATTATTTCACATTTTCCATATATGCTAGTCTTTGTAATTAAATTTTTAATGACTGTGTGACATGAGAATTAATTTTATTCTCACTGAGAATAGGGAATAGGAGTTAAATCCTACTGTTTTGTTTGAATAGGTTAAAGACTTGTGAATTGGTTATAGATATTTATCAAGACTGTTAAAAAGAATTACTGGCTGGGTGCAGTGGCTCATGCGTATAATCCCAGCACTTTGGAGGCCGAGGTGGGCCAATCGCTGGAGATCAGGAGTTCGAGACCAGCCCGGCCAACATGGTGAAACCCCATCTCTACTACAAATACAAAAATTAACTGGATGTGGTGATCTTTGCCACCTAGCTACTTGGGAGGCTGAGGCGGGAGAATTGCTTGAAACTGGGAGGCAGAGGTTGCAGTGAGCCGAGATTGCCCCACTGCATTCCAGCCTAGGTGACAAAACATAACTCTATCTCATACATGCATACTTGCATACATACATACATACATACATACAATTACTGAATTATAATGATCACTTTCAAGTGTTATTAAATTTCTGATGTCAGTTTTAAAGAGTCTACTCATGGCTAAAATATGACTGACATTTTATTGTTTTTTACTGTGTCTTTTTTTTTTTTTTTTGAGATGGAGTTTTGCTCTTGTTGCCCAGGCTGAAATCTGAGCTCACTGCAGCCTCCACCTTCTGGGTTCAAGTGATTCTCCTGCCTCAGCCTCCTGAGTAGCTAGGATTACAGGCACCCGCCACTACGCCTGGCTGATTTTTGTAGTTTTAGTGGAGACGGGGTTTCACCATGTTGGCCAGGCTGGTCTTGAACTCCTGACCTCAGATAATCCACCCGCCTCGGCCTCCCAAAGTGCTGCGATTACAGGCATGGGTCACTGTGCCTGGCCACAATATCTTTTATATATTGTAGTTTATTCACTTACTAATCTGATAATAGTTTCTTTGCACTATTTACTTATTTACTGCTTCTGTCTTTGCGTGTGATGATGAAATACGTAATTCCGCAGTATGGGTCAAGATGTAATCACATATTTCAACCCATTATTGATTAATCTTCAGCTGCTTAAAAGCTTATGCTTTTTGGTACATTCTCTGTGATTTCGTATTTCTGCATGTAAAATAGAATTTTACTTCTTTCTTGTCTTTACGGATTATTTCAAAATTTATTTTACATCATATTGTATTTAATCCTGCTCACTAACTCCTTTGTTTGCTATTGTTTAGGTGGTTGCTCCTTATCAAACCTTACTGAACCCCCTGAGCAAGTTGAATGTTTTGAATAATCTACATTCCCATTTCATATTGGTGGATGATGGCACTGTTGGAAAGTATGGGGCAGAAGTCAGACTGAGAAGAGAACTTGAAAAAACTATTAATCAGCAAAGAATTCATGCTAGTAAGTGAATTCATAAATTTGTTACTGTTGAAATTGTTCTGGGCTGTACTAATAGCTAAATTCAAAGAAGGTGGAATGTTCTTTGAAGTGCTTTTTCTTACATAGCAAGATAACATGTGAAACAACCAACAGTGGTTGATCTTAGACAAAATGATAAGACCAAGGAAAAGAGGTCAAAATTGGGTACTCGGTTATCAAGGCTAAAACCAAAAAAGGTTCATTGGAAGTTCTGTTATTGCAATTCCATTTCAGCCCAAGGAATTCATAAATATTCCTTTTTTTGTTTTTTGAGACGGAGTCTTGCTCTGTCGCCCAGGCTGGAGTACAGTGGCGTGATCTTGGCTCACTGCAAGCTCCGTCTCCCAGGTTCACGCCATTCTCCTGCCTCAGCCTCCGGAGTAGCTGGGACTACAGGTACCCGCCTCCATGCCTGGCTAATTTTTTGTATTTTTAGTAGAGATGGGGTTTCACTGTGTTAGCCAGGATGGTCTTCATCTCCTGACTTCATGATCTGCCCATCTCGGCTTCCCAAAGTGCTGGGATTACAGACGTGAGCCACTACGCCTGGCCCATAAATATTCTTAATGCGTGATTTAGTCCAATACATGGCTGTGAAATTCAAAATTGAAAACTATAAGGGAAAAAAATCACTGAAAGAAATAAATCAGCTTAAAATGAGTATCACTGTTTGGCTAAATGTGTCTTAAAAATTGTATTCCTGGGACTGATTTTTCTTTCTAACTATGTCTGAATTTTCTGGTTCAACATCTACATTTTTATTTCAAATAAAGGAAAATTTGTAACCTAAGAACCCCAAGAAGTTGAGCTCTGTGACAAAGTGAAATAGAAATTTAAAAACTACAGAACAGTGTTTATAGATTATGGTGGAGTCAAAGCTTTTGCTAAAAGTTAAGAATGGGCTGGGCATGGTGGCTCACGCCTATAATCACAGCACTTTGAGCGGCCGAGGTGGGTAGATTACCTGAGGTCGGGAGTGCTAGACCAGCCTGACCAATGTGGTGAAACCCTGTCTCTCCTAGAAATACAAAAATTAGCCGGGCATGGTGGTGTGTGCTTGTAGTCCCAGCTTCTTGGGAGGCTGAGACAGGAGAATTGTTTGAGTCCAGTAGGCAGAGGCTGCAGTGAGCTGAGATCACGTCACTGAATTCCAGCCTGGGTGACAGAGCAAGACTCCATCTCAAAAAAAAAAACCAAAAAACAAAAGTTAAGAATTGTTTATAGTCCTATAGCTACCTTTTGTTTTTTTCTTTTTCTCAGTGCACCACAAGTTACTGTAAAAGCAAAAATTTGTATTCTTCACTAATTTTTTTCTGTTGCTCTTCTAGAGATCTTGGAATTTTATTGATCAGTTCCAGTTATGTAATACTGTCATCAATTTCTTCTTTAATTTTTAATTTTTTTTTTTTAGTTAAGAGTCTTGCACTGTTGCCCTGGCTGTTGTGCAGTGGCCCGATCTCAGCTCACTGCAACCTCCGCCTCCTGCGTTCAAGCGATTCTTGTGCCCCAGGCTCCAGAGTAGCTAGGATTACAGGCACTTGCCGCCATGCCCAGCTAATTTTTTGTATTGTTGGTAGAGAGGGGGTTTCACTATGTTGGCCAGACTGTTCTTGATCGCCTGACCTCATGATCCGCCCGCCTCGGCCTCCTGAAGTGCTGGAATTACAGGCATGAGCCACTGCACCCAGCCGTCCTTTTTTTTTTTTTTTTTTTTGAGATGGTCTTGCTCTGTCGCCCAGGCTGGAGTACAGCAGCCCGATCTCGGCTCACTGCAACCTTCGCCTCCTGGGTTCAAGCGATTCTCCTGCCTCAGCCTCCCGAGTAGCTGGGACTTCAGGCGCTTGCCACTATGCCTGGCTACTTTTTTGTATTTTTAGTATAAATGGAGTTTCACCAAGTTAGCCAGGATGGTCTCCATCTCCTGACCTCATGATCTGCCTGTCTTGGCCTTCCAAAGTGCTAGGATTACAGACATGAGCCATTTCTTTTTTCTTTTTTACAAACCTTTCATATGGTGTTTGAGAAAGTCATTAATTTTATTTATTTATTTATTTATTTGTGTGATGGAGTCTCACTCTGTCCCCGGACTGGAGTACAGTGGCATGATCTTGGCTCACTGCAGCCTCTGCCTCCTGGGTTCAGGTGATTCTCCTGCCTCAGTCTCCCGAGTAGCTGGGACTACAGGCGTGTGCCACCACGCCTGGCTAATTTTTTGTATTTTTAGTAGAGACAGGGTTTCACCGTGTTAGCAGGATGGTCTGGATCTCCTGACCTTGTGATCTGCCTGCTTTGGCCTCCTGAAGTGCTGGGATTACAGGCATGAGCCACCGCACCTGGCCAAGACTGTCATTGATTTCTATTTTAATGTCTCATTTGGAATCAGAAATATATGTTTTTAAAATGAATAAAAATCCATGTTAGAAGTTCAACTAATGTATTAAAAAGCAAACTAAAAAATTAGTGTTTTACATTTCTTGTCAAGAGCTCAATAAAATATGGAAAACAAATTTTTTTTTTTTTTTTTTTTTTTGAGATGGTCTTGCTCTGTCGCCCAGGCTGGAGTACAGCAGCCCGATCTCGGCTCACTGCAACCTTCGCCTCCTGGGTTCAAGCGATTCTCCTGCCTCAGCCTCCCGAGTAGCTGGGACTTCAGGCGCTTGCCACTATGCCTGGCTACTTTTTTGTATTTTTAGTATAAATGGAGTTTCACCAAGTTAGCCAGGATGGTCTCCATCTCCTGACCTCATGATCTGCCTGTCTTGGCCTTCCAAAGTGCTAGGATTACAGACATGAGCCATTTCTTTTTTCTTTTTTACAAACCTTTCATATGGTGTTTGAGAAAGTCATTAATTTTATTTATTTATTTATTTATTTGTGTGATGGAGTCTCACTCTGTCCCCGGACTGGAGTACAGTGGCATGATCTTGGCTCACTGCAGCCTCTGCCTCCTGGGTTCAGGTGATTCTCCTGCCTCAGTCTCCCGAGTAGCTGGGACTACAGGCGTGTGCCACCACGCCTGGCTAATTTTTTGTATTTTTAGTAGAGACAGGGTTTCACCGTGTTAGCAGGATGGTCTGGATCTCCTGACCTTGTGATCTGCCTGCTTTGGCCTCCTGAAGTGCTGGGATTACAGGCATGAGCCACCGCACCTGGCCAAGACTGTCATTAATTTCTATTTTAATGTCTCATTTGGAATCAGAAATATATGTTTTTAAAATGAATAAAAATCTCTCGGTCTCCCGAGTAGCTGGGACTACAGGCGTGTGCCACCACGCCTGGCTAATTTTTTGTATTTTTAGTAGAGACAGGGTTTCACCGTGTTAGCAGGATGGTCTGGATCTCCTGACCTCGTGATCCACCCATCTCGGCCTCCCAAAGTGCTGGGATTACAGGCTTGAGCCACCGCGCCCGGCCTACAAATTTTTACTTTAGTGAATATATACATTATTTGATGTCTATTATATATTAGATTTTCTATTTTTGTCATTTAGAGAACAACCTTTAAGATAGTGACAAAGTATTCATTATTTAATATGTGAACTGATATCAAGTGGTGTGCTTAAAGTCAAGTCAACATAGTCTTAGAAATTATGTTTTTACTTTTTAATTTTTTTTTTTTCAGTAAAATCTGAAATTAGAGTACTGTATTTTGCCTAATTTTTTTTCTTGGAAAGAAACTTGCTTGTGATGAAATAATTTTTTAATTTAACTTTGCTCTTTTTAGGGATTGTCCAAGGTGTCCCTGTGGTGGCACTTATATTTGAGGGTGGGCCAAATGTTATCCTCACAGTTCTTGAATACCTTCAGGAAAGCCCCCCTGTTCCAGTAGTTGTATGTGAAGGAACAGGCAGAGCTGCAGATCTACTAGCATATATTCATAAACAAACAGAAGAAGGAGGGTAAGTGTATGACAACATTTTAATTTATTTTATTTATTTATTTAATTTATTTATTTATGATATGAAGTCTTGCTCTATCTCCCAGCCTGGGTGGAGTGCAATGGTGCAGTCTTGGTATACTACAACCTCCGCCTCCCAGGTTTAAGCGATTCTCCTGCCACAGCCTCCCAAGTAGCTGGGTTTACATGCATGAACCACCACGTCTGGCTAATTTTTGTATTTTTTTTTTAGTAGAGATGGGGTTTCACTATCTTGGCCAGGCTAGTCTTGAACTCCTGACCTCAAGTGATCCACCCACCTCAGCCTCCCAAAGTGCTGGGATTACAGGCATGAGCCACCGTGCCTGGCCCATTTTAATTAATTTATTAAAATGGCTTGTGGTATTTAGAATACGGTGTTGGATTCCTTCCTGTGTTTTGTGAACATGAAAATTTTAAGTTTAATACAATACTTTGTTAAGCGTTGAGGAAATAGCCTGACTCATATGTTATTGGAAGAAATTAAAATAAAACCATCTTCATGGAACACAATTTTGTAAGATCTATCAAACCTAGAGGCACTTATCTTTTACTCTAGTAGTTTCATTTCTGGGAATTGTTCCTACAGGTGTACATCTGTGAAATAATATATGTATAAAGCTACTTGTTACGGGATTCTTTGTAAAAGATTGAAACAAAATAGAACATGAGAAGACTAGATTAGTTATGGTGTATCTATACAAAGAAATGGTTTACAGCTGAGTAAGGATGGTTTTGAGGAGATTACCAAAATATGTACATGCAAAAAGGAAGATGTAGAGAAGCATATTGTGCCACTTTTTATATAGAATAAAAGGAGAGAGGATAATTATTTGTATATGCAGAAAGATATCTTGGAAAGTTATATAAGTAAATGATTCCTGAAAATAGTTGGGATAGAACTGGGCAGATGAAAGACAGTGGGAAGGAGACTTTCACTATTAATTTTAATATTTTAGCATTTTATATTTTCTACTATATTTTTGAGCCATGAAAATGTATTAAATATTCAAAAAAGAAAAATGTGAGTGCCTGTGTTTAAGAACATCGTGGTGGAATACTAATTTATACATCATAATATCTTCAGATTATTTTTATACAATATCTTATGTGAGTACTGATATTGCCACATACACTTTTTGATAAAATTCACAAAGTAATTCAAAGAGAAAAATCACTCCATTTCATTTATTTTCCTTCTAAGATTTGTGTTGGGAGTCTCATGAAAGAGAAAATAATCCCACCCAAGGTGAAGTATATAATATTAATGCATTGTTTTCAAAGGTCTTACATGAATCTACCTGTACTTCATATTGATCTTACAAATAATGGAAGATGAAATCAGTGAATTATGTTTCCTTTTATTCCAGGAATCTTCCTGATGCAGCAGAGCCTGATATTATTTCCACTATCAAAAAAACATTTAACTTTGGCCAGAATGAAGCAGTTCATTTATTTCAAACACTGATGGAGTGCATGAAAAGAAAGGAGCTTGTGAGTGGATTTCAGCTGATAGGCCTTTTTTTCTTTCATTCAAAATACATTCTAAATTGGTGAAATACGTTTGTTTTTATTTGGATTTTAAATTTTGAAATCTTTATTAACCGTAAAAATATGTCATTTATTGGTCTGTTCCAAGTTGAGAGGTATCATAGAAGGAGGCCTGTAGTTTTTTATACGGTATTGAGACTGTGTATTTGTGCTTCTGTTTTAGGGAAAGTTTTAGGAAAAGTAACTAGGTCTCAACAGGTAATGTTCGGTACCAACGAAGAACTGTAAAGAGTTGTTTATGGTTTCTGTAATAAAATATTTGGAAAAAATTTTTTTAATGTGCTTAAGCCTATTAAATTAAAGGTCAGTGCTGCTTTGTTTCAGTCATGTAAACATGGGCTTAAGTTTTCAGAGATAAAATTTTTTAGCAAGCCTATAAATAGATATATAACATGATTTGATTTGCTGTATTTTTCATTGCAAGTTTTTGTAAACTGTGAAATAAAGTTGACCAAAAATTTTGTATTGGGGTTATAATAATGTTTCACTTTCTTTTCTTTGTTTTTTTTGTTTGTTTGGTTTTTGGTTTTTGGTTTTTTGAGACAGAGTCTTGCTCCATTGCTCAAGCTGGAGTGCTGTGGTGCAATCTCAGCTCACTGCAACCTCCGTCTCCCGGGTGCAAGCGATTCTCTCCCGCCTCAGCCTCCCAAGTAGCTGGGACTACAGGCATACACCATCATGCCTGGCTAATTTTTGTATTTTCCCTAGAGACAGTGTTTCACTGTGTTGGCCAGGTTGGTCTCAAATTCCTAACCTCAGGTGATCCACCCACCTTGGCCTCCCAAATTGCTGGGATTACAAGCATGAGCCATGGGCCTGACCATCTTTCACTTTATGAAAAATGTTATTAAATTACAATTTCTGAATTGGTGCTGTGTTTCAAGTAATTTAAAGACATTTACAGTAAAAAGATTGACCAAAACAAACATTTATCTTTCAAGAATACATACATTATGTGAACATGTAAATGTTCATTCTGTGGAAGGAACTGTAGGATTTATTTACCCTGATAAAGAATCTATAGCCTCAGCCCCTAAATTTCTTACTCTAGTAAGGGCCATAAGATAGATCAGAATATCATATGAAACCAAATATTTTTAGTATTTTTGCCATTTTATTTGGTAAATGATAAAGGTTTTTAAATTTTTTGGTTTTTTTGGTTGAAATAAAGTTACTAACTGGATACATAAATATGTGTATGTATGTTTATGTATGCATAATACATAGATTCCTAGATGTATATATATATATTTTGCCCCCCCCCCATAGAGTTTGATATTACTGGGTCTTATGATGCCTTTGTTTTAAAAATATAAAGGCATAATATTATGAATTTATCTTTAAATAGATCACTGTTTTCCATATTGGGTCAGATGAACATCAAGATATAGATGTAGCAATACTTACTGCACTGCTTAAAGGTAAGCCTCTAAGAACTTTTTTATTTGTAAAACCTTTTATTTATTTTTTGTATGGATGTGTGTGTGTATATGTGTATATGTGTATGTATGTAAAATATAGAAACTTTTAACATGGCTAACTACTTGCAAAGTGAATTTTCAGTCATTTTTCTTTGTGAAAAATACAATGTTGGTTTCCTTGGCAGTAAGGTAACTTTTGATTTAATCTTGTAGAATTTAAAAAATAAAAGTTTTTAGCAAGGTTTATGCCACCAAACCTATTTAATAGTCCTATTAAGAATGTCTAACATCCTGAGCCAGGCACGGTGGCGCACACCTGTGATCCCAACACTTTGGGAGCCAAAGCAGGAGGATCACTTGAGGCCAGGAGTTTAAGACCAGCCTAGACAAGATAGACCCATCTCTACAAAAAATTTAAAAATTACCTGCGCATGGTGGCATGTGCCTGTAGTCCCAGCTACTTGGGAGGTTGAGGTGGAATCACTTGAGCCTGGAAGGTTGAGGCTGCAGTGAGCTGTGATCATGCCACTGCACTCCAGTCTGGGCAACAGAGCAAGATCGTATCTCACAACAAACAAAAATTAGCTGGGCATGGTGGTGTGCACTCTGTAGTCCAAGCTGTTCAGGAGGCTGAAGCGGAAGGATCGCTTGAGCCTAGGGTTTGAGGTTACAGTGAGCCATCATCACACCACTGCACTCCAGCCTGGGTGAGACCAAGACCCTGTCTCTAAAAACAAATAAAAATGTGTCACTTTCTTAATCAGCTGAAAAATAAGTGTTTAAAGGTTATAAAGCATTAGTTGATAGAATTTAAAGATAGAATTTTAAAACATGCTGTCTTCATTATGAAGGGAAAGTTTGAAAACTAGTGGTATCTTCTAGGACTAAGGGATTGAAGCACACACACACACTGATCCTCTCATTGTCTCCCCAAAGACATCCAACAGATATAACAACATTATAGTGAAATATTTTCTCAGAAATTAGGAACTAAGACAGTATCCCATCTATCTACCTGAAAGTTAGTGTAGAGTGATGTGCCAGGAACCCTTCACATTAAGAGGATACTGTCCTTTTATTTACAAGAATTTTCTTGCATATTAGACCATAATAAATTGCCAATACATTAAGCATTTTTAAAATACTGTGATAAAATATATTTATATCATCTGGGATCATGGTATCAAGAGATCACAAGTGATAGGAAACCTAGAAACCAAAAAGGAAAAAAAAATAATAAATGGGATTGCATAAAAATAAATAAGTCTGCGTCCGCTGACTCACACCTGTGATCCCAGCAATTTGGGAGACTGAGGCAGGTGGATCACTTGAGGTCAGGAGTTCAAGATCAGCCTGGCCAACATGGCAAAACCTCGTCTTTACTAATAATACAAAAATTAGCGGGGGGTGGTAGTGGGAGCCTTTAGTCCCAGCTACTCTGGAGGCTGAGGCATAAGAATTGCTTGAACCTGGGAGGTAGAGGTTGCAGTGAGCCAGGATCACACCACTGCACTACAGCCTGGGTGACAGAGTGAAACTGTGTCTCAGAAAAATAAATAAATAAATAAAAAGATTATAAAGAAAGTACCATATTCATTAATTATTTACCATGTACCTTTCTGTGTATTAACCACTATATCTAAGTGGTTTACATTATCTCATTTTATTCCTACGAGTCAGATTTCCTGTGGTTTTACTCATTTTATAGATGAGGAAACTAAGGAAGAGAAATGTTGAAGTGGAGGGATCAAAAAGAGCTGTTAAAAATTAATAAGAGAAAGATGACTACCTCGTGGAAAAATGGGTCAGAACTTATGTAATAGATAATTAATAGAGGAATCCAAATACTTAGAGAAAATATGGAAGGATGGCCAATGTTACAGTAATACATTTTGGGGAGGCTGAGATAAGCAGATCCCTTGAGCCCAGGAGTTTGAGATCAGTCTGGGCAACTTGGCAAAACCCTGTCTCTACAAAAAATACAAAAATTAGCCTAGTGTGGTGCCATGCACCAGTGGTCCCAGCTACTTGAGTGAGGCTGAGGTGGGAGGGTCAGTTGAGCCCAGGAGGCAGAGGTTGCAGTGAACCAAGCCCACGCCACTGCACTCTAGCCTGGACAACAGGGAGAGACCCGGTCTCAAAAAAGAAAAGAAAAGAAGGAAACTCCCCTCTCCATGGCACATGGAGAAATGGTTATGGTTATACCCCTCCCCTGGTGGATGGTAGAAGCGATCTGAAGTATTTTGGAGTATATCAAAAACCTTGAAGTATATATCCTTGTACCTAGTAATTTGACTTCTAGAATATTATCCTATTTGAATATTCAAGCATGTGCACAAAAACATACTCAGCAAAAAATTCAAAATAATTTGAATATCTACCATTTGAAGTATTTGTTAAATAAATTGTGGCTCACCTAAGTATATATAAGGTAGATTTATATATAATTTTAAGAAGAACCAGGGCACGATATCCAGGTACATAAAGCAAGCTACTGAACACTTTTGTAGTATGAACCCATTTTTGAATAAAAAATGGAAAGTTTATGTATGAGCTTGTATATGCACAGAAAAGTACCTGACAGGCTGTTTTCAGAATCCTGATAGTGCTCTCTCTGTGATAGAAACAGTTCATCTTTGTTTTCTTCTCATTTTTCTGCATTTCTAAATGTTTGCAATGAATGGGAATATGTTGTTTATAGTTGGAAAGGTAAAGTTCTTAACCCTGGGGCTTATCTTATCTCTCTGAGGCAGGCTACTTCTGAATGGTGGCTGACACCAGCTGTGTAAGTTAACTAAAGAATGGTGGGGAGATGTCATAAGTGTTCATGCTGGGCACTGTGGCTCACACTTGTAATCCCAGCATATTGGGAGGCCCAAGTGGCAGGATCACTTGAGGCCGGGAGTTTGAGACCTACCTGGTCAACAAGTGAGACTCTGTCTCTACATAAAGTTAAAAAAATTAGCTGGGTATGGTGGTGCTCATCTGTAGTCTCAGCTACTCAGAAGCTAAGGTGGGAGGTACACTTGAACCCAGGAATTTGAGGCTGCAGTGAGCCATGATCACCTTTGCACTTTATCCTGAGCAACAGACCAAGACCCCATCTCTTAAAAAAAAAAAAAGTGTTCACCTTTTAATGGAGATAAATTAATTGAACCTGTCAACTATTTTCTTTATTCGATTAGGTACTAATGCATCTGCATTTGACCAGCTTATCCTTACATTGGCATGGGATAGAGTTGACATTGCCAAAAATCATGTATTTGTTTATGGACAGCAGTGGCTGGTATGTAAATAATCTACATACACAATACAATTAAATTACACTAAGTAATAAAAAAGTATTTGCGGGAACTGTGAACTGACTTGACATTTTACTTTTCTGCCAATAGTTCGAAAATAGTTTAGCTAAGTATTTCTACACCATTCCGATCCAGTTTAGGATTTAATATATGCCTCTAGATAAAACCTTATTTTTTAATAGAGTATATAGATCTCTAAGAATCTTATAACTGAAAGAAGCTTTGGAACTCATGCTCTGTATACAAGAGAATCCATTCTAGCATTCCCCCTGATGTTTAGATCTATTCTTTTTTTAATCTTCCTCATCCTACTAAATGGGAACAACTTCTTCCTAGTTTCTAAGATGAGAATCTTTAGTGTTTTACTTTTCTCTTTCTCATGTATTCCAATCCAATTCCATCTGTAAATCTTGTCAGACCTACTTTCAAAATACCTAATTTTATCATCCTGGTCTAGTCTATCATCATCCTTCTTTTGTGTTATTTCAGTAGCATACTTTTTGGTTTCACTTCTCTCATACTTGCTGTCCTTTTACGAACAGGAGATGAATCACATTCCATTTACTCAGAGCATAATCCAGAGCCTTACATGCTACTACTATCCGCTTTGCTCTTTTTTATCTAACCTTGTTGGCATTCTTGCTCTTCTTTGAACATATCAAGCATGCTCCTATCTCTAGGCTTTGTACTTGCCTGTACAAACATCTTAACATTCTTCCCTAGATACCCACGTGGGCTTAATTCCTCCTATCTTTCTGGCCTCTAACCAAATGTCTCCTCTTTGGACTTCCTCTGTCCACCCTATTTTAATAGCATCCCCCTAAACCAGCGTTCTTCCCTGCTATTTTTTCCTAACTTTTGTCGCCATCTGACAAACCATATAATGTAGCTATTATTTATTGTTTGTTTGTCTTTCTCCTAGAAAGTAAACTTTCTGAGGGCAAGAATATTTTTCAGTTTTGTTTACTATTGTATTGACAGCTTGGTATGTAGTAATCACTTAAAATTTTGTTACATGTCTGAATCAATAGGAGGCTGGGCAGATTAAATGTTCATCTGTGCCTTGAAGTATTACCAGCCTTTACAGAGGATGAACTAGATCCTTTTTGTCCACATAGTAAATATAAACAGCAAATTGCAGAAAAGTATGCACAGTATGATCTTAATTGTGGCAAATTCTCCTTATGAATGTACAAACATTCATGCATATCTACATGTACTGTGTAGTAATAGTACCTTTCTAAAACTGTTAACATAGGATTCATCTTGGAGAGATGGGGGCTGGAGGAGAGAAAGTTTTATTTTATACCATTTTGTAGTGTTTGATTTTTTTTTTTTAACCATGGAAGTGTATTTCCTATATAGCAATAAAAAACCAGTTTATTTAGTCATTTCTCCTCTTGCAGGACTACAGAGGAAAAAAATTAATGTTAATCATTTGTGGTGATGACTATAACCAACCTTATTTTTCCCTTGAATAATTTCACTGGATTTTGTTCTCCTCAGATGTAAAGGCTTGGATGAAGCATTTATCTTCTGTGTATATGTGGTTTGTCTGATGGATTTCTTCTGCATAATGTTACCTATTTGATTTTGTGCTTCTTGCTAAACTTAGAATTTGCAGAACAGTTATTTTTCTTTTTTCTTCTTACTTGCCAGGAGTTCAGTATGCATTGAGTGATTGAGGAAAGGCTCCTTACAAAGCAGACACTTTTTTTTTTAAATGGTCTCTTTTTTCCCCTCAGATATGAAAATTAAGTTTTTGTTCTAGGGCAGTGATTATAAACACAGATAGAATGTTCTTGTTTTAAAAACAATACTTTTGTTATATCTCCTTTTATTCTACTAAAGTGAAATGTCATAATTACATAAATTAAGAATATATGTATAATGCCCTAACTGTAATAAGACAGAAAAAATGATTTATAATAAAAAATAAATATTTCAGTATACAAATGTTCAAGACTGGCAATATAAAACACATAATAAGTCAGATGCCTGCAGTTATAATGAGTGTAAATGCTGCAGTTATACATACTAATACAAGTATGTTGTTGGTAACTTAAATATCCTGGGGAACAGATAAACATCCTTTGCAAGTGTAGGACAAAGAAAGATCAAGTGGGCACTAGAATAATGTTAGAATATTACTGTTAGAATAAGTAATAACATCAGGATTATTTGTATGTGATAAGAGAAAGAAGGAAATAATCTGAAGTAAAATAGTAGTGACATGCCATGATAAACTACAGCCTATTAATGTAGAGAAAACTAATAAGTATTATTTTCTTGGAAATCAGGCCTTATTTTTAAGCATGTGAAAATATTTTCCTTGTGACAGAATTGAGTATTGAAAAATGTCACAGAAAACATACCTTGTATCTTTAAATGCCATCATGTAAAAGGCATACATTTCATCAGTATGTACTTAAAATAGGCCTAGGTGTGGTGGCTCATGCCTCTTAATTCCAGTACTGTGGGAGGCTGAGGTAGGAAGATCACTTGAGGCCAGGAGTTTGAGACCTGTCCGTATTTAAAAAAATAAAAGAAAAAGAAAAAAGGCAGGTACAGGGGTGCACACCTGTAGTTCTTAGCTACGTGGGAGGCTGAGGTGGGAACATCCCTTGAACCCCTGAGTTTGAGGCTGCAGTGAGCTATGATTGTGCCACTGGGTGACAGAATGAGACCCCGTCTGAAAAAATGGAAAGTATATACTGAAAATATCATAAAGACTATATCCTTGCTAGGTGATGTAAATTGAAGATAGATTGGAGAAAGAAATGGTAATACAAGTTCCTCTAGAGAAGTTGTGTAGTTGTGTGTTAAACCTCTGAAGATAGAATAAGATTGGAAAATAATGGGTAAAAAAACCAGTGGTTTTGTATTGATTTTTGCCACAAAGATGTTTTTAGTAATGTGGTACTAAATTTTAAAAAATACACAGAAATATACAAAATATTAAAAAATATACAGACTGTATTAAAACAATATTTATTAATAAAACTCAGTGAAATACCTACATTTTGTGTCTCTACTGATTTACCAGTATTTGATTTGAAAGTCTGTTGAAGTCTATAAAATAGGCTTTAATATATAAAGGACCGCTACAAATGCTGAATGATACAGATGTGTTATAGTAAGCACAAATGACATAAGTTGTACTGCTGTCAAGTGATTTCTTTTCCCTAATGATGAATGATTTCTTTTAAAGTTCTGAAGAAAACTAAGTACAATCTTGCCTGACTTATCTGGTGGTTGTATTTTTGGAAAATTCATTGTAGAACAAAAACCATGATGAAATACTTAGTGTTCATTTGTAAGGCAGAATTACTGGTTTTTCACTCATGAACATCTAACAGGATAATAAAAAGTTGTGTGGGATGCGGGATAGTTTCTTTCTGAGTAGAATTCTCCAGCATATTGCTTGATTTCTGGTGTCCCTTGACCCTACCCATTAAATGTTAGTAACAGCACTCAATTATTGAAATAATCCTTACCACAAAACCTTCCCTAAACACCGAGAGCATTGCTTTAAGGTATTCTTTCCCGAGATTTAATTGATGATGGATTCTGTTTTTTCCCCCATGTAACATTTATTCTCCTACAGAAGTAGTGTTTGTGGAATATTCTTTAAGAAATGTTGTTCTAGAGAGGTCTTTTAATCTATTCCCTCAACACCTAAAGTCTTACTAGCTTTTTACTGTGTTGCATCTTTCTAATTTTGTTCTAAAACTGTTGGGAACAAATTAAATATAAATCCTAAGGACTTAACATTTAAAAGTGTTTGTATAATTAGAATATGTGAACTATATACTTATTAAATTTGATACTCCTAGGTTGGATCCTTGGAACAAGCTATGCTTGATGCTCTTGTAATGGATAGAGTTGCATTTGTAAAACTTCTTATTGAAAATGGAGTAAGCATGCATAAATTCCTTACCATTCCAAGACTGGAAGAACTTTACAACACTGTAAGTCTACGTTAAAATTCTTTATTGACTACATTTTATCTTTTGGGAAATGTTACTTTACCTGAATATAGCCGTTCCTATTGATAAAACCCTTAATGTCTTCCTCAGTTATATGAAAAAATTATAGCCAGTCTTAGTATGGATTGGTTGTATTGCAGTCTGAAACCCTTTCCTTGTTTTTAGAACCCATTCCCTGTCACCATACTCACATAGGGCTATTAAGCCTACCTCTCTTTCCTATCTGTCTCCCTTTCCCTCCCCTCACCCCTTTTTAAAACTATAGGATCAACTTCTTAATTATAGGGTGATTATGTTTCTTTTGACTCTGTTGTCTAATGGAGGAATTATGCATTGCTTTTGCTCTTTTTTTACATTCATTGTTTGACCTCATGGTATACCCCTTTTAGCTTACATACTGTTTTCATTTTTTTGGTAAAGGACTCCTGAAAACTTATTATTCTTGTCACAAAGACTTTCTCATTTTATTCCAAATTTTTATTATCATTAGCATTGAAGATATACTACCCTTCTTAGTGGTTTTCTGATGAATATGAATTTACTACCCAAATCCTTAACTTGATTTTCAAAGATCTTCATATATTGCCCCAGCTACTTTTCTCACTTGGCCTTTTTATTGCTCCCCAAATCCTGGGGGAGAGGGGAACGGCGGCAATAAGATGGTAAATGTCTACCTACTATTTACTAAAAATAAAAACTTTTTTTTTTTTTTTTTTATTAGATGGAGTCTCGCTCTGTCGCCAGGCTGGAGTGCAGTGGCGCCATCTTGGCTCTCTGCAAACTCCACCTCCCTGTTTCAAGTGATTCTCCTGCCTCAGCCTCCCAAGTAGCTGGGACTACAGGCATGTGCCACTGCACCCAGCTAATTTTTGTATTTTTAGTACAGTCGGCGTTTCACCATGTTGGCCAGGATGGTCTTGGTCTCTTGACCTCATAATCTGCCCGCCTCAGTCTCCCAAAGCGCTGGGATTACAGGCATGAGCCACCAGGCCCAGCCTCCATTATTTTCTTTTAATAGTGCATAGCACATTTGCATTGAACTTTGTTGACATTTTACTGTCCCTAGTGGATAGATGTAAAAATTAAAAGGATTATTCATTGTGCTGTAGTCAGGTTTATCCCTGAAATATAAAGCAGTGTAAAATAATAAAAATAAACATTGATCCCATTAGCAAGGCAAGTAATTTTTAAATTATGTAACTCAAAGGTCTTAAGAAAATACTGTAGTTACTTTTAGCATGAATTATTGATGAAGTTTTAAAACATTTAAGGGCTTGCAACATGATAAAGTAGTGGTTCTCAAACTTTTTAATTTCAGGGTTCCTTTACATTAAAATTATCAAGAACTTCAGAGAGCTTTTCTAAAGAGGTTTTGTTTATGTGTGTTGGTATTTTAGAATGTAAAAATGCGAGTTTTAAAAAATATTTGTTTTTATTAAAGTAGCAATTATGTTTACTTAAAATTTCTAAACTTATCCCATGTTAACATAAATATTTGTTATTTGTATTTCTTTTTTCTTAAATTAGCACCTTCTGCCTGATACGTTTTTATTTTTATTTATTTTTTTGAGGCGGAGTTTTGCTCTGGTCATCCAGGCTGGAGTGCAATGGCACAATCTCAGCTCACTGCAACCTCCACGTCCCAGATTCAAGTGATTCTCCTGCCTCAGCCTCCCGAGTAGCTAGGATTAGAGATGTCCACCACCACACCCGGCTAATTTTTGTATTTTTAGTAGTGATGAGGTTTCATCATGTTGGCCAGGCTGGTCTTGAACTCCTGATCTAAGGTGATCCACCCGCCTCGACCTGCCAAAGTGCTGGGATTACAGGCATGAGCCACCGCGCCCAGCCTGCTATGTTTTTATTTTTAAAGAAAACAGAAAAATTGCTGAGGAGAGGAAAACATTTTTGCAAATGTCTTTAAAGTCTAGCCTTATAAAAGCAGCTGGATTCTCATATTTGCTTCTGAATTTAATCTCACAATATCACACATCAGAAAGCTTCTGGAAAACTTCACCAAACACGGAGAGAATAAGAATGAAACAATACAAATACAATTTTAATATGATTAGGAAAAAAGTCTTGATCTCATGGAACTCCCAAAGGAATCATGGGGGCCTCAGGTGTCCCCAGGTCACACTTTGAGAATTACTATGTTAAAGTACATTTATTATTTACTAACAGTTTATTTTTAATGGATAAGCATTTAATAGAGCAGGATAAAATAGAATTTAAAAAATTCTAAGTGCCTTTGCATATGATTATATACCGTTGGAGAAAAATGCAATGAAATTCCCCAATACTCCCAAAATATGAGATGCTTCTTACTAAGAAGAAACTCTTATTTTAAAAAGTTAACCTGTGGGGGAGAATTGGCAGAGAGAACTTAGCCCCTGAGTGGATAGACTAAATAAATATTGTTGTTGTTTTTTTTTAAATTTTTTATTTTTTGGGGGATGGAGTTTCACTCTTGTTGCCCAGGCTGGAGCACAGTGGCGTGATCTCGGCTCACCACAACCTCTGGCTCACCACAACCTCCGCCTCCCGGGTTCAAGCGATTCTTCTGCCTCAGCCTCCCGAGTAGGTGGGATTACAGGCATGTGCCACGACACTGGGCTAATTTTGTGTTTTTTCAGTAGAAACGGGGTTTCTCCGTGTTGGTCAGGCTGGTCTCGAACTCCCAACCTCAGGTGATCCACCCGCCTCGGCCTCCCAAAGTGCTAAGATTACAGGCTTGAGCCACCGTGCCCGGCCCTAAATAAATATTGTAAAAAGAAGACAGAGCAAAGTAAAATATAATTTATATGCAATGTCAATTGTAGTTATCTTAGATATTATATAGAATTTGAAATCCAGGAATATAAAAGAAAATAACTTTTTCTCCAAAGAAATAATGGTATATGGCCGGGTGCGGTGGCTCACGCCTGTAATCCCAGCACTTTGGGAGGCTGAGGCAGGAGACCATCCTGGCTAACACAGTGAAACCCCGTCTTTACTGAAAATACAAAAAAGTTAGCAGGGTGTGGTAGCAGCGGGCACCTGTAGTCCCAGCTACTTGGGAGGCTGAGGCAGGAGAATGGCGTGAACCTAGGAGGCGGAGCTTGCAGTGAGCCGAGATTGCACCTCTGCAGTCCAGCCTGGGCGACAGAGCGAGATTCCAACTCAAAAAAAAAAAAAGAAATAATGGTAGGTGCACCCAGTTAAATTTTAAAACATTTTACAAAGTAGATGTGATCAAAATAGAAAAGTAGATTGAGTTGATTACTATAATAACTTATCATATAAAGTATCAATACACGGGTGGCATTAAATCCCATTTGATAATTCTTTTAAACAATAGGATTTAAAGTATTTAGAAGTCTCTTGATTTGTGTCACCTGGAATTCATTGCATTAAATTTCAGACGGGTCAAATGACTACCTCAGGTCTTTTTGAGCCATTTACTTCCTTCTTGGTCGAGGAGAATAGATATTTGGCTATTTTTTCAAAATACAGACTGCCATCAAAATGAGATTACTAGAAAGGTGGAACTTGCGATTAGTCCACTCTAACATTATATATTAAGAGAAGTAAGATAATGGCAAAATTATGGCATATATAAATGTTAAATCAGGGATGTCCAATCTTTTGGCTTTCCTGAGCCACATTGGAAGAAGAATTGTCTTGGGCCATACATAAAATACACTAATGATAGCTGATGAGCTTAAAAAAAAAATTGGAAAAAAACTCAATGTTTTAGGAAAGTTTACAAATTTGTGCTGGGCCGCATTCAAAGCCTTCTTGGGCTGTATGCAGCCCGTGGGCTACAGGTTGGACAAGCTTGTGTTAAAAGACTTGTTACTCAAAATATTTAAAGTCTCAATATGACTTTATTAGTGATGGAACAGAGGAACAGACATTTTAACAAGAAGAAAGGTATTGTACGGCGCCATTATCAATGAAATAAATGTAAATTTAAATTTAAGGTACAGTTGTAAAGTTACAGTGTTGACATGACTTTTATGAAACAAAAAAGAATGTATCATTTTAGTGATACTCTAAGATTATTTGTTTTTTGGCAGTAAACGTGACAATTCTTTGTTGTTCTACTTTATGGATAGAACTTAAGGAAATAACTCCAAAACAGTGTAATTTATATAAGGAGGTTCTCAAAAATCCTGTAAACTTTAAATTATTTTAGAAGAAAAATAATAGTTTGCTGTAACTTTTTCTCCCTAAAGAAACAAGGTCCAACTAATCCAATGCTGTTTCATCTTGTTCGAGACGTCAAACAGGTAAAAGATTATTTTTGCTTTTGAAAAATGTTATTTTAAAAAATCATTTATATTTCATCTTTTTTTTTTTAAAGCATTTAAATACATTTTGGAAATACCAATAAAATTAGTTTACAGAACAAGATAAAATATGGGCTGAATTTGTGGTAAGAGAGGAGTAAAGAGCATAATGTATCAGAAAACAAGAAAAAAAGAGAATTTATGAAATTAAGACCACTGCCAGGCATGGGAGGCTCAAACCTATAATCCCAGCATTTCGGCAGGTTGAGACTGGTGGATTGCTTGAGCCCAGGAGTTCGAGACCAGCCTGGGCAGCATGCTGAAATCACATCTCTACAAAAAGTTAAAAAAATTACCTGGGCATGGTGGTGCACACCTGTAGTACCAGCTACTCGGGAGGCTGAGGTGGGAGGATCGCTTGAGGCCAGGAGGTGGAGGCTGCCACGAGCCATGATCTTGCCATTGCAATCCAGCCTGGGAACAGAGTGAGACTCTGTCTTTAAAAAAAAAAAAAAAAAAAGCTATTGAGCTTCTGGTCATCCAAGATAGAATATGATGTATAAAGCTCATTGGTTCATAAAAGAAAGACTGTTGATAGAATGTATCTTTTTTCCTCTATCTTCAGCAGAAATTTGTTCCTTAGAAAATTGTCCGAATGTAAAGGATACTGAATAAGGAAATTGAGGACAGGGTCATGATCTTAATGGCAGACTTTGCCAGTAAAAATGCTGAAAAGCTCTCTCCCCTTAAAAAAAATTGCCAGTAGAAATACTGAAAAGCTCTCTCCCCTTAAAAAAAAAATGTAGTGTTTCTACTCAGCCATACAGAAGAATGAAATCATGTCCTTTGTGGCAATGTGAATGGAACTAGAGGTTCATTATCCTAAGTGAAATAACTTAGTCAAATACCACGTTTTCACTTGTAAGTTGGAGCCAAACAATGGGTACCTGTGGACATAGAGTGGAATGATAGACACTGGAGACTTAACAAAAGGTGGGAGGTTGGGTTGGGGGGTGAGGGTTGAACAATTTACCTGTGAGTACACTATTCACCATTCAGGTAATAGGTACACTGAAAGCCTAGTCTTCACCACTACATAACACATGCATGTAAGAAATCTATACTTGTAACCCTAAATATATATAAATCGCTTTAACATTTTTAAAAGTAAAACAAAATCTAGTATTGGTAGTGATGAATGTATAACACTCTCATGATCTCAGGCTATTCTGTGGCCACTAAATTGATGTACTCTTATTCCTCTTCTCTCCTATCAGGATTGTTTGTGAACTGAAAGTTTTAAACATTTATCACCACTTTTATAGCCATTTATATTGGTGTTCAATACAGTTTTGTTTTCCTTGATAAAATAGTATTTATATTTATTTGGTTAAAATATCTTCTAAGTTTCTAAACTTAAATTTTGTTTAGAATTATTTATTTCAGCTTTTACTTGCTACTTAATATGAGTGCATTATTAAACACATCGAAGGCCAGACCTGGTGGCTCATACCCGTAATACCAGCACTTTGGTAGTCTGAGGTGGGAGGATCGCCAGAGAGAAAGTGTTCGAGACCAGCCTGGGCAACAAAGCGAGACCTTGTCTCTACAAAAAAATTAAAAATTAGCCTGGCATGTTGTCACCTCCCTGTAGTCCCAAATGATTGGTGGGGGTGTGGGGGGCACTGAGGGAGGATCACTTGAGCCCGCAGTGAGCTGTCATTGAGCCACTGTACTCCAGTCTGGGTACACATCAAGGCCCTGTCTTAAGAAAAAAGAATGACATTAGAAATGTCATTTTTAACAGCCTTGAGGATGTTTTTTAAAAATGTCATTTTCTGTTTTCATTTTCATTATTTTGTAACTGATTTAATACTAAACTATCCCATAGGAAGAACCGAGACATTTTATTTTAAAAAAATTTTTTTTTGGAAATGAAGTTTTGCCCTTTCTTGCCCAGGCTGGAGTACGGTGGCGCGATCTCGGCTCACTGCAACCTCCGTCTCCCGGGTTCAAGTGATTCTCCTGCCTCAGCCTCCTGAGTAGCTAGGATTGCAGGTGTCTGCCACCACGCCTGGCTGATTTTGTTTTTTTTGAGATGGAGTCTTGGTCTGTTGCCCAGGTTGGAGTGCAATGGCACGATCTTAGTTCACTGCACCCACTGCCTCTCAGGTTCAAGCAGTTCTCCTATCAGCCTCCCAAGTAGCTGGCACTACAGGTGTGTACCACCACACCCGGCTTATTTATTTATTTATTATTGTTATTATTTTTTTTGTAGAGGTAGGGTTTCATCATGTTGGCCAGGCTGGTCTTGAACCCCTGACCTCAGGTGATCCACCCACCTCGGCCTCCCAAACTGCTGGGATTACAGGTGTGAGCCATTACGCCCAGCTCACGTGTGCTTTTCTTTATAGCTTTATTGAAATGTATTTCACAAATTACAAAATTCGTTCATTTAAAGTGCATATTGGCCAGGCGTGGTGGCTTGAGGTCAGGAGTTCAAGAACAGCCTAGCCAAAGTAGTGAAACCTTGTCTCTACTAAAAATACAAAAATTAGCCAGGCGTGGTGGCGTGTGCCTGTAGTCCCAGCTACTCAGGAGGCTGAGGCAGAAGAATTGCTTGAACCTAGGAAGCGGAGGTTGCTGCAAGCTGAGATTGTGCCATTGCACTCCAGCCTGGACAACACAGCAAGATCCTTTGTCTCAAAAAAAAAAAGCATACTTTTTTGACTTTATTCACAGAGTTGTGCAACCATTGCCACAGTCTAACTTTAGAGCATTTATAATACTTCAAAAAGTTACCCTGTACCCTTTAGCGGTCACTCCTCATTTCTTCTCCTTCTCTACTCCCCACTTCCGTCCCCCTCCTAGGATAACTATTAATCTAATGATTTGCCTATTCTGGTCATTTCACATCAGTTTGATTTGGTGGCTATGATAATAAGCCCTATTTTTTGATTTCTGTAAGTGATAAATCCTGAAGTAAAGGCAGTAATTGAATATTTTGATTCACATTGGTAAAGAGTTTTATGGCTTAGTATAGTTTGAGAACTTGATCGTCATGACATTTGATAGATAATTCACATTATTTTACCTAATTTAAATATTTCTTATTCAAGTGGGTTCATATAATGGCATTTGTCATTTTTAATAAATAATATTGATGAGTATCATAGGTGACATTCTCAATCAGCATATTTTGAGGCTGCTTGAGTTAAAACCAAAAATCATGTATTCAAGATGGAAATATGTATTTTGATTTATTTTCAAATTAGAGATTTAAAGGATATAGCTATCTAGAAATTAGAAATTTCACAGATGAAAACAAGATTTTATTTATTTATTTATTTATTTTTGAGACGGAGTTTCGCCTTTGTTGCCCATAGTAGAGTGCAGTGATGCGATCTTGGCTCACTGCAGCCTTCGCATCCTGGGTTCAAGCAATTCTTCTGCTTCAGCCTCCTGAGTAGCTGGGATTACATGTGCCCTGCACCACACCTAGCTAATTTTTGTATTTTTAGTAGAGATGGGGATTCACCATGTTGGCCAGGATGATCTCAAACTCCTGACCTCAGGTGATTCACCCCCTCAGCCTCCCAAAGTGCTAGGATTACAGGCGTGAGCCACCGTGCCCAGTGAAACCAAGACAGTAAAAATACAGACATTAAAAAAAAAAAAAAAAAGTTCATGACATTATAATCAGGGAAATAAAAAAATGGTAATGGTAGGAGGGCAGAATTAGTTAATAAATACAAATTATCTGATGATTAAATCCCTTTAAGATTATTTAATGAAATTAACCAATTTTTAAATTTTTAAACAGGCCATCTTTCCAAACTCACAAATGGTGTATGTTCCAAAAGTGCATTTGTAAATTGCCATGGGAAAATGAAGTCTTAGCTTTAAACAATGTTGCAAGTGATAGTTAATTCCTAGACAACACTATAAAAACCTATAATATTGCCAGTATAATTTTGGTTAAAAAATATTTACATGTATTTCTGGGCCAGTCTGGAAACATAACACAGCATTATTTTTGCAGAAAAATGCAATTTTTTATATATATCACAATGAAAATGGAATAGTTGGCCAATTAGCATTTCCATTGTCTCTTTTTTTTTTTTTTTTTTTTGAGACAGAGTCTTGCTCTTGTATTTTTCGTAGAGACCGGGTCTCTCCATGTTGGCCAGGCTGGTCTGGAACTCCCGACCTCAGGTGATCCGCCTGCCTCAGCCTCCCAAAGTGCTGGGATTATAGACCTGAGCCACTGCACCCAGCCTCCATCTTATGTGTGAAGTATTGGGGCAATAGAGAGATGAAATTGTTATCTTCCTGCTTTAGGTCATACTCCTGTCTCAAGGCACACCTTTGAGACCTCAGAACTTCAGAATCCCGTATTTTTACAGAACAAATAGAGAAACAAACATCTCCTTCTGTAAAGATAGCTGCTGGCAACCCTTGCTGCTGCTGCTTTTTTTGTTGTTTGTTTGAGACCAAGTCTTGCTCTGTCTCCCAGGCTGGAGTGCAGTGGCACAATATTGGCTCACTGCAACTTCCGCCTCCCGAGTTCAAGCGATTCTCCTGCCTCAGCCTCCTGAGTAGCTGGAACTGCAGACACGTGCTAGCTTGCCTGGCCAATGTTTTTGTAGTTTTAGTAGAGACGGGGTTTCATCATGTTGGTCAGGCTGATCTCGAACTCCTGACCTCAGGTGATACCCACCTTGGCCTCCCAGAGTGTTGGGATTACAGGCGTGAGCCACTGCACCTGGCCCTTGCTGCTTGTACAAAGTAAACATTTGTCATTTTGGAGAGTAGGCCTGTTCCTAGGCAGGGCATGGCAATATTGAGAAATGCTATCTGATCTATTTAAAACATGTTTTGTTTCTAGGGAAATCTTCCTCCAGGATATAAGATCACTCTAATTGATATAGGACTTGTTATTGAATATCTCATGGGAGGAACCTACAGATGCACCTATACTAGGAAACGTTTTCGATTAATATATAATAGTCTTGGTGGAAATAATCGGGTATGTAAAATTTGGGGGGAAATCCATATATGTGCTTTAACATTAAATGCACTTTAAATGTTAAGAATTAACATTAGAATGGAGAAAGTAACACTGTCATAAAATTGAAGATTTTCAACTAAGAGTAATTAGAAATATTTTGTCATGAAAATCCTAAACCAGTCATATTTTGTTTATACACAAACACATTTGCACACGTATATAAATTGATTCTTGAATTTTTATAACATGTCAGCATGTTTAAATCTGTAAAAGCTAATAAGAGCTCATTTTCAGAGGTCTGGCCGAAATACCTCCAGCAGCACTCCTCAGTTGCGAAAGAGTCATGAATCTTTTGGCAATAGGGCAGATAAAAAGGAAAAAATGAGGCATAACCATTTCATTAAGACAGCACAGCCCTACCGACCAAAGGTAAATTTATTTAAATATTATTCTTTCTGGATTTTTATTTTCTTCTTTCTAAATTACTTAGTATTATTAAACAAAAAAACCTAATTGGATTTAGTAAGAATTACCTTTCATTTTTGGGTATGTCTTAGAATTGTCATTTTCTCATACACAGAGATATTAATTATAAGTTAATGATTCTGTTACTTTTTTTTTTTTTTTGAGATGGAGTCTTGCTCTGTCACCAGGCTGGAGTGCCTTGGTTCAATCTTGGCTCACTGCAACCTCCGCCTCCCGAGTTCAAGTTATTCTCCTGCCTCAGCCTCCCAAGTAGCTGGCACTACAGGCACCCGCCACCACACCGGCTAATTTTTTGTATTTTTGGTAGAGATGGGGTTTCACCATGTTGGCCAGGATGGTCTCGATCTCTTGACCTTGTGATCCACCCGCCTCAGCCTCCCAAAGTGCTAGGATTACAGGCATGAGCCACTGCACCTGGCCTACATTTTCATATTTAGCTATGATGATAACCAAATTAAAATGTTTTAATAAATGGTTACCTGACTCCTTTCATTCCAGTTATACTTGATTAAGAACATGTATGACAAAAATGTTATCTAACCCTTTATTAAAATTATGTTCTATTAGAATATTAGTTGAAATATTTAGGCCCTTAAATTTTGGGAAATGTTTATTGCAAAGACATTTCTGTTAAAATAGCGTTTTCATAAAATGAATTATGAGCTATAATAAAAATCCAGTTTATAAAATTTATGCTATTATGTGCAGTTTTATGGAGCTGAATAATGTAAAGGATATTTTACTAAAATTTTCAGTGACATAAATTTCATATGGCCTTATTATAATGATCTTTATAACTTTATTTTCCCTGGAAGATTGATACAGTTGTGGAAGAAGGAAAGAAGAAAAGAACCAAAGATGAAATTGTAGACATTGATGATCCAGAAACCAAGCGCTTTCCTTATCCACTTAATGAACTTTTAATTTGGGCTTGCCTTATGAAGAGGCAGGTCATGGCCCGTTTTTTATGGCAACATGGTGAAGAATCAATGGCTAAAGCATTAGTTGCCTGTAAGATCTATCGTTCAATGGCATATGAAGCAAAGCAGAGTGACCTGGTAGATGATACTTCAGAAGAACTGAAACAGTATTCCAAGTAAGTGATATTTTATTATTTGAAAACTTTTTTTTTTTTTTTTTTTTTGAGACGGAGTCTCGCTCTGTCGCCCAGGCTGGAGTGCAGTGGCCGGATCTCAGCTCACTGCAAGCTCCGCCTTCCGGGTTTACGCCATTCTCCTGCCTCAGCCTCCCGAGTAGCTGGGACTACAGGCACCCGCCACCTCGCCCGGCTAGTTTTTTGTATTTTTTAGTAGAGACGGGGTTTCACCATGTTCGCCAGGATGGTCTTGATCTCCTGACCTCGTGATCCACCCATCTTGGCCTCCCAAAGTGCTGGGATTACAGGCTTGAGCCACCGCGCCCAGCCTATTTGAAAACATTTTAAAAATTCAAAGTAGATATTGTTTGAGTGGCTGTTACAGTGCCACGTACTTAACGGTGATGTATTTATATGTATAATCTTACTGGTACAATTGACAGAAAATTATTGAAGTGTATATATTTTTTAATTCAGAAAGAAACTTTCTGCCTCTATGAAAAAAAGGTTATTATATTTACAACCCAAGAATTAAATATTTCAGCAAGAAAGAAGAAATGCAGCTTGGGCAACATAGGCAGACCCCGTCTCTACATGAAATTTAAAAATTAGCTGGGTGTGGTGGCACTTGTCTGTGGTCCCAGCTACTCAGGAGGCTGAGGATCACTTGAGCCTGGGAGGTTGAAACTGCAGTGAGCTGTGATCATGCCACTGCACTCCAGCCTGGGTGACAGGGTAGACCCTATCTCAAAAGAAAGAAGAAATGCCAGAAGTCATTTTAATTTTTGCAAATAGTAGCAATTGGATTAGAAAGTTCCATTTGAATTGGTAAGGAAAGGGCAGAAGTGAGGTTGGAGCTGTGTTATAAGAAAATAGACTGAACTCAACTGGGAGGCACTTCAGAAGCTAGAAGTACATACATAGAATAACGACATAGTTCATAAAAATTTACAATTTACTTGGGGGGGCAGTATTGAAATATTAAACTGGAAATGTAGTTTGTAGAAGTTTTCTAATATATACTAAGACCTCCCGATTCCCAAGTGGGGTCTTTAGAGGACAGTGACCAACTGTTACTGAAAATAACTCTTAACAGGGATCCTATGGTTACTTAGTGGAACTTCAAAATTCAGATGTTTCTCATAATTAGGTTAGTCCCTAGTCACATTGTTCTTCCTCTTTACCAGGTACCAACTGTTTTCTGTGTTTGAAATACTGCATAAACTTTTTTGAACAGAGCATTGTAGCATTGTCAGTTTTGATTGCCTTTGAGATTATAGTTTGATTTCTAGGACTGGGAGAAAGTGCTCTGGATTCACCTTTTCAGTCTTGTACATAATGCGACATATTTTAATATTTTGTGAATAGATGCAGATGTCTGAAAACAGTTATGGTTTTAATGCCTCATAATTCTGTAAGTGTGTGTGAGAATATTAAAAGGTAGAAAGTATTAATGTATATAAGAATAGTGGCTTAAAATTGCACTTTGTTAATCTGAGTATATTTTGGCTTTTATCTTTTTATAGTGATTTTGGTCAGTTGGCCGTTGAATTATTAGAACAGTCCTTCAGACAAGATGAAACCATGGCTATGAAATTGCTCACTTATGAACTGAAGAACTGGAGTAATTCAACCTGCCTTAAGTTAGCAGTTTCTTCAAGACTTAGACCTTTTGTAGCCCACACCTGTACACAAATGTTGTTATCTGATATGTGGATGGGAAGGCTGAATATGAGGAAAAATTCCTGGTACAAGGTATACTTTAGAAATAATTTGATATAAAGTGTATGATAAGATAAAAAGAACAGAGGAATTAGTCTAAATGTGTAGTAAAATGCCTTGATGTGTGAGGGTAATGGTGGGGGTTATAGAGGGAGCAAGAAGGATGATTGGCATTTCATCCCAAGTGGTATAATAGGCTTCTTTTTTCCTCCTTTTCTTTACTTTTGAATCCTTTTCAGGTGTGTATAATGATTATGGCCTCTTTTTGAGCTAGAAGGGGAACAAATGGGAAATACTGGAGATTATGGCCCTGAGCAGCCTTGAAAAAAGTTACTACTTTATGAAAGGATTATTCCCAAATTCTGAAATTCAAGACCTATCTACTAATTTAATAATCTGTTACTTTTAAGTTACTTAAAGTATATTGAATGAGTATATTCATATACCCAGTTTATACTTATAGATAAGTATATACATGTGGCCCGTTTATATCTTTAAAAATTTGGATAAAATGACATGTACTTCAGGTTTTGTCATGGTGATACATACTGCTTTTAACTTTGCTTTTTGTTCTCTTACATCTTTTTAAATAAGGTGCAGAAATGTAGGAGTCAGAAATCAGGCAGTTTTAACCATAGGCCACTGAATAACCAACAGAAACCCTGTTACGCAATTACAATTTCTTCATGCTTTAGGATTTTGCAAGTAATAAGTAAAATTTTAGAAATAAACCTTTTTGTTTATAGAGGCACAAGCTGAGTAATCATGTTATGACATGGAACACTTGCAGAGAGATTTAGGATAAAATTAAGGACATAGCACCTTTATAAGGTTTGAATTTTGTGTAAAGAAAATGTGTTTTCTGAACAAATTGTAATCTGATTTTATTTAAAGGACAAGTCTATAATAATTATTAAATCTATCCTATACCCTTATTATCATAATAATCAAATGTTTTGTTACTCTTTAAAACTTGGGCCTCTTTAAATACAACATGTAAGTAAAAAATGAATTTTTTGTTTTTTTCTGTCCACTACTGGGGCAAAATGGCTAATCATCATAAGATATTTAATATCTTTTATTTTTCTTTATTATATTCTTGAAGGTCATTAATTTTAAAATGCAAAATTATGTTTCTAAAAATTTAGGTCATACTAAGCATTTTAGTTCCACCTGCCATATTACTGCTAGAATATAAAACTAAGGCTGAAATGTCCCATATCCCACAATCTCAAGATGCTCATCAGATGACAATGGATGACAGCGAAAACAACTTTCAGAACATAACAGAAGAGATCCCCATGGTAAGCAGGAAAACATTTTAAAGTAAACATAAATTTGTTCTGAATAATTGTACAAAAAAAATTTTTTTTAATTTTAGGAAGTGTTTAAAGAAGTACGGATTTTGGATAGTAATGAAGGAAAGAATGAGATGGAGATACAAATAAAGTCAAAAAAGCTTCCAATCACACGAAAGTTTTATGCCTTTTATCATGCACCAATTGTAAAATTCTGGTTTAACACGGTATGTTTTTAAATTACACGAGCATAATGTTTTTAAGAGATAGGCTTTGGGGGACCACTGGTTCAGAATCCATACTAATCTTGATATAACTTAGATCACTGAAAAGGCATTTCACATTTAAAAGAGTGATACATTTGCCTTAGTTTCATTTAAATTGTCATCTAGAGTGATAAACACTAACAAATTTCAGTTCTAATTGGAACCAAAAATATACTTAACAAATATGTGATAACCATTGGCCTTTGTAAGTTGGTAGCAAATACTAATCAACTAGTAAAATTAATGATAAAAGATGGACCAAAAGAGATTCTGATACTTTTTTTTTTGTATTATAAAAGTTTTTTTGTATTATAAAATTTTTTTGTATTATAAAATTTTTTGTATTATAATTTTATAATACATAAAAGTCTGAAATAAACCTGTTGGCAGTGTTAACTGATGATGATGAAAAGTAATCCAGATCATTTATATGGTTTTATTTATCTGTGGCTTAGTTCTTTAATCGTATTAAAGTGTATGCTTGATTACCTTCCATATAATTGGCTTTTCTCTTGCTTTATGGAAAAATTGATTTGACAGCAGATAAAGAGCATATGTCCATACAAGGATGGACTCATCTGTTATTTTGGTTGAAATGTAGGTGTTTATGTGTTTTGGTTGTTTTCTGTGGAGAATGAGCACTAGGAAATATTAGTTGGCTATCTTGCTGGTGCTGCTTTTCCTAGTGATGGACCAACCTGAAGGAACAGGTGATACAGTAAATGAGATTAGCCCCTACTTTTAACCAGGGACTGAGTAAATGAGTTCTTAACTCCTCTTCATCGGAAAATTCTTAATTAAGATGTTTTTAACTTTGTTGTTTGGAGATTTTTTCATTTTCATCAATAAGAATCTGTTTCTTTGGCGATTACTTTTTCACCCACATGTGACCATTAACATTTCCTTACATCTCTATGTGAAAATGTTCTTGTTCCTTCCTATTCAGAGGCTGAAATTGCAAATACCAGTTATCTGATCTAATCTCCAAATTCTGTCTCCACTAATGAAAATAGGGCAGTTTTCTTACATTTGCATTCATGTGAATGGCTACGTTAAAATAGCCAGTATGGGTGACTACAGGAATTTCTCTTTTCTTTCTTTACTGCAGTTTACTTCCCTAGCCTGTTATAGATAATCAAATCAAGGATATGACTTACTCTAGGACTGATGGAGACAAGATAGAGATGAGAGGATTGTTACCCATAATTTTTCAAGGGTCAATAAGTGTGGGTTTTCCTCTGAAATGAAATAAATACTCACATGTTTTTAAACATAAACTTTATCACCTCTCTATAACCTATTTTGTAAAGAGTGTCAAAGGTGGGCTGTTTCTGTACCTGGGGCAAAGCCTTTTCACATCTTTCCCACTTTTTGGGGTTCAACTGTAGTGCCTGGGAGCTAAGAAAATACCAATTGTCTATCTGTCTTGTCTTTTCTCTTTTCTTTTCTTTCTCCTTTTTTTTTTTTTTTTTTGACAGAGTCTCGCTCTGTTGCCCGGGCTGGAGTACAATGGCATGATCTCAGCTCACTGCAACCTCCACCTCCCAGGTTTAAGCAATTCTTGTGCCTCAGCCTCCCGAGTAGCTAGGATTGCAGGCATGCACCACGATGTCTGGCTAATTTTTTTTCTTCAGTAGAGACGGGGTTTCACCTCTTGGCCAGGCAAGTCTCAAACCCCTAACCTTAGGTGATCCACCTGCCTTGGCTTCCCAAAGTTCTGGGATTATGTGCGTGAGCCACCACACCCTGCCTCAGTTGTCTTTCTTAGGAATACTGTTTGGTTGGGGGAGGAAGGAGGCAGGAAATATGTGTTCCTTGATGATTATGGTGGTGAAATTCTGCAGTAATTTGAATATGTGATGATACTGTAGGTGTGAGTTAAGCAGAATTGTGTGGCATATGCTGAGAACATAAACCTGATTACAAAATCCTTTCTATGGGATGTTCTAAAGGTTGACTGAGTTGTAGAACAACACATTTATACTCTGGGGACCATTTATACTCCAGTAAATGCAATGTCTGTGCTGAAAAAGAGATATTTCTAAAACTATTTTAATAAGGGAAACCAGGGGATAATTCACAAAGGTTCATTTAATGTCTATTTTTGTGTGTGGTTGAAATTGTTCATAATTAAAAGATTTATTTTGTAACCAGTGTTTATATAACCTTTACTTTTTCATTAGTTGGCATATTTAGGATTTCTGATGCTTTATACATTTGTGGTTCTTGTACAAATGGAACAATTACCTTCAGTTCAAGAATGGATTGTTATTGCTTATATTTTTACTTATGCCATTGAGAAAGTCCGTGAGGTATGTCTTTAATTTTTCCTACCAATAATTTACTGTATACATGGAAGATTTTCTGTTTTGTTTTGGGTATATACATGGGTGGGTGTGTGTGTGTTTATGTGTGTGATGAGATTGTAGAAGTGTAGAACCTGTGTAATTTTACTGTTCCCAAAATAATGGCAAAAGAATGGCAAAAGAATAGAGAATTAGTGAGTATGCTGTATACTTTGTTGCCATTACAAATACAATGATTTGTGTCAGAAATGTAGCCTATAAAAATGTAGCCTATATTTTGTTTGTTTTATTTCCTGAACGTTCACATTTGCTCTCTGTCACTCTTCAAAAAGTATTAAATATACTTGGCTAAATAGCTTTTATTTTACCTGCCTGATTTAGCCAATTAGGTAGGTAAGTTATAAATAGGTCTTTAGGCCAGGCACAGTGGCTCACACCTGTAATCCCAGCACTTTGGGAGGCTGAAGCGGGCAGATCACTCGAGGTCAGGCGTTCGAGACCAGTCTGGCCAACAGGATGAAACCCCATCTCTACTAAAAATACAAAAATTAGCTGGGCATGGTGGCAGCCACCTGTAATCCCAGCTACTTGGGAGACTGAGGCAGGAGAATCACTTGAACCCGGGAGGCAGAGGTTGCAGTGAACTGAGGTTGCACCACTGCACTCCAGCCTGGGCGAAAGAGTGAGACTCTATCTCAAAATAAAAATAAAATAAATAGGTATTTATTTTGCTTTTATATCGTACTGCCTACTAAAATGTACTATACTGCCGTTGAATCATCATTTAGATTTATATCCCTGTGTCTTTCAGTTTTCAGTTTAAATTTTTAATATCCTGATTTTGAAGAAAATCTTTTTCTTAATATTTATACTTTGTTTTTGAAGTAGTAACTACATGAATATTGTTTTTTGATTTTTTGTTTTTTTGTTTTTTTTTGAGATGGAGTCTCCCTCTGTCACCCAGGCTGGAGTGCAGTGGCACAATCTCAGCTCACTGCAACCTCCGCCTCCCGGGTTCAAGCGATTCTTCTGCCTCAGCCTCCCTAGTAGCTGGGATTACAGGTGCGTGCCACCAAGCCTGGCTAATTTTTGTATTTTTAGTAGAGACAGGGTTTCACCATGTTGGTCAGGCTGATCTCGAACTCCTGACCTCATGATCCGCCTGCCTTGGCCTCCCAAAGTGCTAGGATTATAGGCGTGAGCCACCGCGCCTGGCCATGAATATTGTTTTATAACATACTTGCATAAATACCTCTGAATTATTTCATGTCTCTTCCTTGCATTTAGAGAATAGAAGAAATTGCAAAAATAATTAGAAGGCATAGTACTTCTCTCTCACTTAGATATCATAAGAATTTCTTTTTTTTTTTTT